TATAACAGTACTATATAATATATATATATATATATATATATATATATATATAAAATATATGTATATATAAATATATGTATAATAAATATAATATATATAAATATATATGTATAATAAATATATATGTATATATAAATATATATGAATATATATATTATACATATTATATATATACATATATATATATATACAATATAGTATATATACATATAATATATATATATATATATGTATATATATATAAATATATATATAATAGTAAATAGTATATATATATATATATTATATATATATATATATGTAAACTATATATGCGTATATATATTATATATGTAAATATATATGTGTATATATATATAATATATATGTAATATATATATATTATATTATTCTAATATATATATATATAATATATATTATGTAAATATATTATATATATATATGTAAATATATAATATTATATATGTATATATATATATTTATATACATGTATATCATATATACATACATATACATATAACATTATACATATTACATGTATATTAATTATATACATATATTATATATATACATGCAATTATATTAAACATATATATATATATATATATATATACTTATATATAATATATCATACATATATTATATATAACCATATATATATATATATATATATATATATATATATATATTATAATATATATATAACCATATAATATATAAACATACATATATATATACATATACATATAAACATATATGAACATATGCAGTATATTTAAACATATATAAACATATACATATATTTAAAACATATATAACTTAATAATAAACATTATATTATTAAAAACATACATATATATAAACAACATACTATTTGATATATAAACATACATATATATAAACATACATATATATAAAACATATATAAAACATAAACATATATAAACATATATAACATTTAATATATATATATACATTATATACTTTTAATGTGCATATAACATAATACATTGTGTGTATATATAAAAAAACATATGCCATATGTATATTATGTACATATTATACATATATACATATGCACATACATACAAAAACACAACACATACAAATACATATATACAATATATATACATAACAATATATACACACATACACAACATATATACAAATAATATATACACACAATTCACAACATATATACACATATATAACACATACACACATATACAATATATACATAAACATATATACACAATATACATATATATACACATATACATATTACACATATATACACATACATTATACAATATATGATACACATATATAAATATATACACAATATATACATATTATATTACATAATATACATATACATACACATATATACATATTATATAACATAAACATATACATACACATACTATACATATATATACAATATACAATACATACAACATATATACATATATAATATAATATACACATATATACACATTACACATAAATAATTAAACATTAAATATATACTATATAATAATTATATATGTATATATAATATAAATATATATATATATATAATATATAATATATTATCATTTATATTATATATATATATATCTATATATAATTTATAAATATATATAAACATTAGAGCAATATATACACAACCATACAAATTACATATATACTATATAAAATATAATTATATATAATTATATCATAATATATATATATAAATATATATATATATATTATATATATATATATTTATATACATTTAGTATATATATATATATATATTATAATATATATTATAATATATATATATATATATTATATTGTATATATTATATTATATATATGTATATATATATATATATATATATATGTAATATATAACTATGTATATATATATAATTATATATATATATAATATATAATGTATGTTATATATGTATATATATATATTATGTATATATATTATATATATATATATATATGTATATTATAATAATATATATAAATATATATGTATATATATATTATATATACTATATATATGTACTTAATATTATATATATATATATAATATATATATATATTATATATATGTATATATATATATATAATATAATATATATTATATAGATATATATATAGTATAGTATAAGTATATATGTATCATATTTATATATGTATATATATATATATACAATATATATATATATTTATATATATAAATATTGTTTGTAATATATTTTTTTTGTTGTTATATACTATATATATATTGTTGTGATATATATATATATATATTATATATAATATATATGTGTTACACCATATATATGTATATATAAAAATATATATCTGTGTAATATGTAATATAATATAATATATATTAATAATATAAATATATATAATATATATATATAATAATATATATATAGGAAAACAATACCGTGTTGATACTATGGTAGAAAACCCACAATGCACAAATAGGTCTAGTTTGTGCATTTGTGGGTTTTTTTCCTACCATAATCATATATATACTATATATATATATAATATATATAATATATAATATTACATTGTTATATATAATACGTATATATGCATATATATATTCATAATTGTGCATGTATATATTGTGTATGTATATATATATATATATATATAATATATATATATATATATATATATATTATATATCAAATATATGATTTGTTGTGAAAATATATATATATATATATATATATATATATATACTTATTATATATTGTGTAATCTGTATGTAATATAAATATATATATATTGTTATACTCTGTATGTATATATAATATATATAATATTATATATATATATATGTACATTTTACATAACAGTATAATAGTCTATATATTTATATATATAATAATATATATATATGTCTACATGTACATGTGTGTGTATGTAATATATAAAAATATATAATATATATATTATATATATACACACATGTACAATAATTTGTAATGTTGCATAATATATTGTGTATTTTATTTATGCACATATGTATGTTATGTATTGATGTATGTATTTGTATGTGTATTCATACATATGCGTATGTGTATATATTATATATTCATATACATTATATATATATATTATATATATATAAATATATAATATATATTATATATATAATTATGAAGCAAAAAAAAAAAAAATATATAGTATATATATATATATAAATAATATATAATGAAATATATAATAACATATATATATGTATACATAATAAAAAATAAATGAAAATATAATATAGTATATATAAACAATATAATAATACATAAATATTATAAATATATCATAAATATAAATTTATATATTCATCATATATCTAATATCATGTATATCATAAATCATAAAAGCAGACATACAAAGGAACACACACACACATTCATGAGTATATATGTATACTGGTATATATGTTAAAATACAAACACAGGTATCCTAATCAAATAAAGCACAAAAAAGCTTAAACTAAATAAACAATACTGAATTTCTTTCAACTCTTCCAACCAAGTAAACATTTCTCAAAAAGCAAATAAAGTATGTTGGGTCACTAACCTGGGAATATTCTGAATGTAGAGGTTGGTTTCCTTGATGTCCTCACCAGGGGGCCGGGCATAGGAGACCTTGATACGTTTGTGCTGCACTGGGAGGTTGTTCAATTGCAGGATGGCCTTTGCAGCGTCCTCTGGCTTCTGGTACTCCACGAAGCCGAACCCGAAGGAATAGCCAGTCTGCTGGGATAGTCAAGTGTAAGGGAAGGTAAAAATAAATGTTTATAGTGGTCAAGTCTTACAAACTAAAAATCAAAATTAAAAATAAGAAAAAAAATGTAAACAGACAAAACAAATCATTAAGTAAATCAATAAACAGGGTGTTAAAAAAAGTCAAATAAAGCATTATGTAAGATCAAAAATAACACTTAACAATAAAAGAGGTTAATATTAAAAAACAAAACTGCAATGAGCATACATGTTAAATATAGACATATATGTATGTATGTACTCGAGTTACTTCACTCTTTGTCAAATAAGAATGTATGATATATAGTTAAAATGCCATTCAATATAATAGTCATTGTAACTCCTTATCAAAAATTCCCTGATCAAGAGATGGAAAATTATTATTTAGATTCCCATCTGCTCACACTGCTTCATTGCCCACTTCAATGTATATAGTTAACTTTAATTTAGGTACCTTAAATGATGCAGCTGAATTTGCACAGAAGTCAATTAATATAAAACAAATATCTAGCTTTTCCTACCAAGAAATCATCACATGAGAAAAATATCGGGTCTCCCCATGTTTTCCTGGCTTCATAACCATATATTTACATACTTGTAAAAGAGAAAAACAAAGGGGAGTGAGCATGAGCAGGAGAAAAACAGGCAGCCCGACAGGAAAAGACAGTTAGAGAATAGAGAAGAAACGGAAAAAAAATAATATATAAAGACGAGAGAGAGAGAGAGAGAAGAGAGAGAGAGAGAGAGAGAGAGAGAGAGAGAGAGAGAGAGAGAGAGAGAGAGAGAGAGAGAGAGAGAGAGAGAGCGAGAGAGAGAGCGAGAGAGAGAGAAGAGAGAGAAGAGAGAGAGAGAGAGAGAGAGAAGAGAGAGAGAGAGAGGAGAGAGAGAGAGAGAGGAGAGAGGAGAGAGAGAGAGAGAGAGAGAGACATCGAGAGAGAGAGGATATATAAGGAGGATATATATATATATACATATCTATAATATATATATTATATATATATATATATATGAATATAATATATATATAATAATATATTATATATATATATATAATATCTATTATATATATTATAAATATATAATATAAAATATATATATATATATTATATATATAATATATATCTATAATATATACATAAATATTACATAATATATATATACATACATATATGTATATAATACATACTATATGTATATATATAC